TTCCCTCCTTTTGGCAGGAGAGAGGCATTTTTAGCCCAGCTGTGTTAACTAGGATGCACTAAAAAATAGTTGAACTCAAATCCAGATATTGCAGTAGTTCTGGAGCCTGCCTGCCTTCCATTGTGATGATACCTTCCTCGGTTTTTATTTGGGGGGGCAGGGTTAGCTAAAGGTTTGCCTTTCCTCTCTTGCTGTTCAAAAGACTCTCACACAAAAGCCCTTTTCTACACAGAAGAATCAGTGATACATTAAGTACAAAAAGTATCAGCAGGTAACTTGATGTGTGGGGAGGGAGAAGAGAGAAAGAAATGTATATACGCCTATACATGTGCACACATACCCCGACCTGTAATAATTGTAAGAAAGGAAAAGAAAATATATATATAAACATTTCTTTTCCTTTCTTTCAATTATTACAGGTGGGGGTATGCATGTGTATGTGTGTGTATTTTTTTCTTTCTAGAAAGAATATATCTATATATCTATTTATCTGTGTGTGTATATACAATTTTCTCTTCCTTTCTTTCAATATATATATTTCTTTTCCTCTCTTTCAGTTGTTACAGGTGGGAGTATTTAAACAAAGATGTGACATGAATCTCGTCAGTATTTCTTTTGAGGCCATAGTCACCCATGTATGTTTTGCCTTTTTGCTGGTCTCGTTCTGCCTGTGTAATTGTGTAAGTGAAAAGAAACTGGATGTGAAAACTCTGGATTCTGTAATTAGAGCAGGGAAGTGTTTCTAATATGGATGAAAGCATGCTTCCATGTGGACTTGGGATGTGGCTTGTGTGGTGTATCCTTTTAAGAACTGTGCCTTGCCCTTCTTTTTCAGAAATTGTTTCTTTGCAACCTCACTTCCATCTGTGCTGACTGCATGCCTTAAGTAGGGCAGGTCCAGGTGTGATAAGCAATTACATCAGAAGTCTTTCAGAATTTTCTTCAGAAGGAAAGAGGTTGGGTGCCCGCAGCAGATGGATAGGATTGGAAATGAAAAGGTTTCCAATTGATTTAGAAAAACAGCTCTCAGTTTGGTTACCTTGTGCTACATTGTTACATGTTTAAAACATGCTTTTCAGCAGACTCAAGCCTTTTTATGCATCTCTGTGATGGTGTAACCAAACAGCTCCTGTTTATTTTACAATGTAAGTTATGATCCTGCAAGTACCTGCATGTGGGTGTTGTTGCCCCCCCTCCATCTTTTCCAGCAATCAAGCAAGCCAGAGGGGCTGCATGTGTGCAGAGCTCTATTGTCAGAAGACACTTGCATGATTCTGGATTTAAGGGGCCCCTAGCCGGTTGCGTAGGCCCAAAGTTTGTTTTATGTTTAAAAATAAAAATCAGATCAGTAGAAATATTTCCATGATGTAAATTTTAATCAAGGAAATAGTTTTCTTTGGCTGTAAACATTCCCCTGTAGAATCTGTGAACTAATGATTGCAGGAAGATGCTTTTATATCAGAGCAGTGATATAAAAGCAGAGCAGTGATCTTGTCTGCCTTGTGCAAGATGAAGGTAGTGCAAACCAAAATATTAAC